GCTGTCCCACCAGCAGCTCCTCAGGGTGGAGAGAAGCACTGTGTCCCAGGGAGGGACAAGGGCTGTGCCACACAGAGAGGCTACATGGCTCCCAGAATGAAACAGCAGGGCTGAGACCCTAAAAGCCCAAAAAGGGGATTGAGGGCCAGCTTAGGAAGTGTCCACCACAGAGCTGGGCACCCACAGGGGTGATGTGATGAGAGGTGACACCACGGAGCTGAGGGGACAGGCTGGGACCACTGCCGCTGCCCAGCCAGGGGAGGATCTGGGTGAAGAGAGCTTTCTCTGCCGCTTTGGGCCTCCCTGAGCTGCCCAGCCCGGCCCAGCCCAACAGAGCCCAGTCCAGCACAGCCCGGCCCAATAGAGCCCAGCCCAGCCTGGCCCGGCCCAGCCCGGCCCAATAGAGCCGAGCCCGGCCCGGCCCGGCCCGGGCTCCCTCTGATGCCCGCGCTGCCATCCCCGGTCCTCCAGCTCCCTCTGCTGCCGGCCGGGACTGCGGCTGATGGAGCCGGCCGGAGCAGCGTCTCAGCCGCCCCAGGTCCCTCCCCAGCAAGGTCTCCAGGCACGGACGGCATTGCACCAGCATCTCCCGCAAGCCCCCGATCCGCTCACCTGGAGAAAGGATGAGGGCAGAGGATGCCCCCGGCACGCTGCAGGACACGGGACAGCCCCGGTGCAGCGGGCAGCCTTGCCAGGACCAGTAGGTCCTGCAGACCCTGGAGATCCCCTGGAGGGATGGACTGTGGCAAGATCTCAGCCTCAGTCCTAGACTGACTCCACGCCGAGACTGCAGCTCCAGTGCAGGCATTTGCAAGCAGGTCCTTCCAGCTTGGGTGATTCCTTTTCTCTGGGCAGACATGCGTGTTCATGCCATGCACACTGCAAGTGTCAGGAGCTGCTCAGCAGCCAGTCTGTTTCTTTTCAAAACTTGACATAAGCAGATAAATTACCCCCAAGTAACACATTTACCACAAGAGGAAAAATGTCGGTGCTACTGCTGCCACCAAAGCAGGAGCTCCTGGGAGCCTGAGTTACAGCCCCGTTGGAGAGACAGCAGGGCTGTAAATGCCTCTCTTTGTGCTGCTTTCCAGCCCAACCAGAGCCCATTGATCACCAGGACAGGAGTGAAGCCAGCGAAGAGAAGCAGGAGCTGGGATGGTGGAGACATGCACCCAGAGCCATGCCAGGAGCTGGACATGTCCAGGGATGCTTGAATCTGGCCCTCTGCATTCTTCTGCCTTTGTGAGACCCCTGGCCTAAGGACACAGACTGCTTCTTTCACCCCTTGGAAAAGCTCGTTTGTTTGGCCAGCAACTGCAAATGGATTTAAGCCAGGAATCCACAGCACTATGGAGGAAGGTCCCTGTGCCAGTGTGGTGCAAGCACAGAGCATTATGGCACACATATTTGGTGTGAAAAAAGGCTGGTTTGGGGGTGAGGACTGACCCCTTTACTTGGCCACAACTCACAGCCACTAAATGGTACCAAGGATGCTCAGGAACTGGGATGTTATTTGTTCCTAGAGAAAAAGAGACCCTGCCCAAAGAAAAAACAGCCTCAGGAAATGCAAGGAGGGAAACTGAGGCACAGAGTGCCCATGTGACATGCAGAGACATCCTGGGTTTCAGCCAGGGCCTCAGCATGGGGAATCCTTTTACAACCTCAAGCATTTGCTGTAGCACAGCCATTGCTGAGATTCAACCTGAGCAACCACAAACTGCTCTGAGTGAGCTTCCCCCAGGTAGGTGAAGGAGGAGCCCTGTGCTGTGTCTGACCTGCACCTGAACACACTGTGGACTCATAGCCCCCATGCTGCAGCAGCCAGGCACATGGCTGCTGCCCCCATGGCAAAGGCCCTCTCTGGCACCCTGAGCCCTGCACAGAGTCGGGTGGCTTCACACAGAGGTTAGGGATGGTCAAGGGGCTGTGCAGAATCAGGACATTCTGCTCATGAGATCCTACAAGGCAGGATGTTTCCCATAGCCCAGGCTGCAGGGAGCAAGGGAAGGTGGCATCAGGCCTGTCCCAGCTGCACCATCACTGCTAAGCCATGGGGAAAGCCATTTGTCTACCAGGCATGAAGCCCCTGTGCAGACCTCTCCCATGGGATTGGGGTCACAGTCCCTTCTCCAGATGGGGGGGACGATTCTGAGGGAACACTGATTCCTGGCTTTGAGACACAGGCTCATGCAGACCACAAGACATGACCATGGCATCCTCTACAGAACATGGCCCAGCATCCTGCCACATATCCATGCCATGTTCCCATCAGGGCAGCTCTGCCATCACCCAGCTGGACCTTATTCCTGACAGAGGAAACTGCTGGAAACAGGGGCTGCAATACAAACCATCACAGCAGGACCTGATGCATGCCCTGCTGCATTCCTTGCTCCTGCTGCCCACTGGCTGCCCAGGCAGGGCTCACTCTGCACCCACTGGCCCTGAGGGTGCCCTGCAGGGTGCTGTGCCCTCCAGGCCTTCTCCAGCCAGGCTTCCCCAGCAGCCCTTCCCTGACGCTGCGCACCGCGCCGACGTCACCCGGCCATCAATAGCGCTTGGTTAATTAATTTGATGGGAACAGCAGGGACCACACTTTGCATTTAGTGAACTTCTGAGAACTTCCAACCTCATCTTCATAATTGGCCTCATAAATTTGAGGAAAGAGAGAAATCAGCAAAGCCAGAGCAGCGCGGGAGGCAGGAGAGGCCCTGCACACGGGAGGGCGGGCGAGTGCGTGAGAAGTGACTCTATTTGGTGTCCTTATTTAATTTTATTGCACAGATCCATCTTCGCCCGCCCCCTCCCTGCCTAGCCCTCTCTCTCCCGCTCTCCCTGCTGAGTTCACCTAATCATGATAAATTCATATTCATTTCCCTGCCTGCTCCGACGGGGGGAGCAGCAGCTCCCCTACATTCGCCCAGCCGTGCTGCCATTAGCAAATATTTACTCATGAGCACAAAGTGCCGGAGTTGGAGGCCAAACTACCCTCCCTGCACCCCCTTCCCCCAGCTCCCTTCCAGGATGAGCAGGGCAGGTAAGGATGGGTGTCCTTCCCACAGGATAGGGAGCAGAGTGGGAAGGGCTGCCTAACACCCAGAACTTTTTCTTTGTCCAGAGCTTTTCTTCCTTTTCAATGAGGGAGGCAGAGAGATGCTTGTTGGGGGGACAGGAATTGCCTGAGATCCCAATCTAGACTCACCTTCAGGGTACAGGGACGGCAGAGTGGGAGCAAGGGGCTCGGCATCAGAACCTGAGGGCCTGTCCCAGCTCCACGACTTTCCATTCATTCTCTAAGTGCTGCTGCTTTTTGTTTTATTTTTAATTTTCAGGATGATCAGACTCACAGCCAGGGAGAGCGGGAGGGGGTGTGCTGGGGAGGGCGAATAGCTGAATCCCCTTCCCGGGAAGCAGAAACCAGGCAAGATCTCGTTAGAGATGCCTAAAACCATGTTTGCTCTCCCTGCCTGCACTGATCCTGGGGACTCAGCACCCACCTCCTCCCAGACACCCCAGGACCCCATCCCTTGTGCCTTCTTGCCAAGTGGGGCATGCTGTGGTTTAGAAGAGGCAGGAGGTGGGCTGTTGTAAGGGGGCGGTGAGGGATTAGAGGTACAGAGAGGAGCATGTGTGGGGCAACTCTGTCCCCTCTGCCCAGGGCAGGGCTGACTCACAGTGGCACAGCCCAGCCCCTCATGTTTCTCCCCTTGCACCAGGATAAGGGAGAAGCAACATCCAGAAAGGTCACCCTCCAGCTGCTCCGGACAAGCTCCTTGTGCTCCTGCACCTCCTGCTCCTTTCAGCCCCCACACCTACACCCAGGAGAAATGGTCCTTATCCATCCGTGACCCACCTGGCTGCAGTTAGCCACATGAGGGCCCTCTGCCCCCTCCAAAGCTCCCGGGCAGGGATTTGTGGGGTGGGAGGGGACATCAGGCTCACTCCCTCACAGAGCAGGGGACCGGTGGGATTTCTGCCCCAGTGGCCTCTACATGACACATATGTACTAGGGTCACCCCCTGGCATTTCCCAAGGGGGTGGGCACAAAGTCTAGCCCAGCCTCTCCCTAAATAAAAGCAGGACAAACAGCAGGGTCCGGTGGTGCTGCAGCACCCCTTTGCTTCCTGGGTGTGAACTGTAGCCCTGGAGGAGGGGTGACAAAGGAGAAGGAGTTGGGGGCAAGCAGTGCCTATTTCCCATACCACTGCTGATGCCTTCAGCACACGGTCCCACTGAGAAGCTGCCTCAGTGCTCCAGGAACAGCAGCTGCCTGCCCTGAGAGCCAGAAGTGCTGGTCCAACAGTGTGATGATCTTCACTGCGTGTTTTCCACCTTCACTGAAACCAGGGAAATGGACCAGCACAGGAGCTCCTGGTAAGCTACAGGAGAAAGTCCCAAGAGTCACAGTGCAGAGAGCAAAAAGACAGAGATACCAAGGGAAAAGTAAGAAGGGATTTATTTATTTATTCATTACACTTCAAATTTCAAAGCACCAAGACATGCCAAAAGACATTCATTTCCCCCAGGTGTCCAGCAGAAATGTTGGGTTGACAAATGCCACTGCTGGGGCGTGGGCCACCCCAGCAAAGCCCCAGCCCTGCTGGTGCCAGCAGCCACAGGAACGGTGCAAACCCACCTGGTTTGTGCCTGCCCTAGCGGCCAACGTGCAGCTTTGTCACTGTACCTGATGGGGCCAGACCCCCACAAGGGAGCAAGAGCCCTGGGGGCCTGGCACAGAAATGCCCACCATGGCACCTCTGCCAGGAGCCACTGCAATACCTGTAACAGACAGAGCACTCAATGTCCCTGGGAAATTCATCTCCACAATATAAAACAGTTGAGGTTTCCTGAGATATAAAATTCATTCCCATGGAACTGGTGGGACCAGCCACATGCACCTGTATACACAAACACACACACACTTTCCCTGATCAAAGACCAGACGACTCCATGGCTTCCACACAAAAAAAAAGGAAAAAGTTTTGCTTTGTCCCAGTCTTGTGTTTTTCTCTGTCTCCATGCCTCCTACAGACAGACACACAGCGCTGCTGGGTTACATTCAGTGCCAATACATTCAAATCTCTCCTGAGCACAGCTCCCCAAGCTGTGAGCTCTGCTCCTCTCCTGCACCAAGAAAAGAGGTCTTGGGCCAGACCAGGGCTCTGAGTAAATCTGGAGGATCCTCAGAACACGAGGCTGGGAGCAAGCAGGTACAGAACCTCAGGTCCCTATGTCTCTTTCAAGACTCATCTGGCATCAGGGAAAGCTGGAGGCAGCAACAGCAGCCTGGCCCTGTGCAATGGGACCCATCAAAGGACACACCAGCTCAGACACAGCAGAAGGACACAGCAGCAGCACAGGTTAACCCCTTGAGACTCCTGCAGTAGCAGCTGCCAGCACTAGTGAGGAGGAAGGCTTGCCACAGAACCAAGCTAGACCTCTGCTACCTTCATTCACAGCTCAGAACAGAAATTTCACAGCGTCAGTGCTCAGATACAGAGGAAGATGCACCCCACTTCCTTTGTTCCCAAGCACTGTCAGGGGCTGGATCACAAGGTTCTGCAACCCAGTCTTCCAAAGTTGGGGAGAGGACGGCCAGGGTAGCTGATGGGCAGCGAGCCCTTTTGCTAGCCACACCAAGAGAGCACTTCCAGTGTGGTTCCAGCCCACAGCCTGAGCTGAGGAAGCCACAGGGCTCTGCCTAGCAGCCAGGCCTCACACTTGCAAGGAGCCCCAGTTTGCTGGGAGATGTTCCTCAGCCTGCAGGCACCACAGAGCCTTTCCACCTCCGGGGAAATCAGATCCTTCCAAGCAGCAGCACAGCACGAGCCCAGGGTGACGCGCAGGCCTCACCAGTCCCGTTCGGAGGGCTCGCGGTAAGGCAGCCCCAGCTGAATGAAGACATCTCTCTCGGTGGGGGTGGGCAGAGTGTGCCCAGGGGCCACCTTGGCACCGCCAGGGCCCCGCACCACGGCCGAGCTGAGCGCGTGCTCCGACAGGCTCATGCCCTTGCTCTTGGCCAGGGCGCGCATGGAGCGGTTGAAGTGAGCCGAGCCCGTGAAGTAGAGCAGGGCGCAGGCGAACTCCCGGTACGGCACCACGATGATGTCCAGGCGGCGGTGGCGCCGCGCGGGCCCCGGCAGGCGGCACACGCCCAGGTACTTCTGCTGATCACCATTGTCCTCCTGGCTCACCAGGTCGTCTGTAAGGAAGCCTGGGAAGAGAGAACAGGCCAAGAGGAGCTCAGTGGTAGATGGACACCTCCACGCTGAACTCCCCACTGCCCAGAGAGCAGCAGAGGCGTCCCATAACGTGCTGTGGGACACCAGCAATAACACACTGAGCTGCAGCAATAGTCCCTCCTTAAAACTACAGATGAGCCAGGTCCAGGGGCAATACTTTTAAGGACTAACAAGATGTCCCATCCTTGGGAGAAGTGATCACCTATCCTTCAATGAATGCCATCCACCTCATTGCCTCCTTGCCTTGGCCATTCTAAGAGCGGCTTCCCGTCCTCTTACCGCTCCTGCGGAGGCTGCTGAGCAGCTTGCTGAACACGCCACGGTGAGACTGCCCATCTGGGTGAGTGACCAGCACATCCACATCTCCACACGTGGCCTTCCCCCGACGGTAGGAGCCACAGGCAACACACACGAGGCCAGGCTTGATGGCCAGGGCAGCTTGTCTGACCTTCAAGAAAGAGGATGAGGAGTCAGAGACCATGCCCTTTTCGTTAAGGCAGCAAAGGATCTCATGCCTGCCTTGAGGCCTGTCCTGCATCTCCAGATGCAGGCATGGCACACTGCCCCACCAAGAAGGCTGGCCTGCTGTCAGGGGAGGAGTGAGCCAGAGCGGCCTCCACCCAGTCCTGCAAACATCCTGCACAATGCCACACCATACAGTGGTCAACCATCAGCTCTTGGGAGCACTGGGTTGGGACAAGCAGGAATATGAAGGGGCAAAGTACTGCACAAGCTTTCAGAGCCTTCAGTTTCTGAGACAGCATGAGATAAGAGGTTTTTCAGCAGGCCTACAAGAACAAGGCTCACGAGCTCTGCCCACAAAGCATATCAGTTCAACAGGTGATGGTCACAGGCCCTGTTTCAAAAACAGAGTTGGGCTTGTGAAGTCTCCCCAGCAGGATCCAACCTGCAGAAACAGGTTCCAACAGCAGAAAATCTGTGAGTATCCCTTGGAGTTCACTCCTGCAAGGAGCTCTGCCTCTGCAGGAGAGCTGGGCTTCCTGACCCAGAAAAAGCACAATTGTCCCAGCATTTTAGACCAAAAGGATGCCAACATGCTGCTGCCAGCAATCAAACACATAATAAGAACTTCCCCTATTACAGTCTTCTCCAAGCTGGACCCCAGCTCCTGTTTTGTGCAGACGGTCCTAACTCTGATGGCTTCATTCATTACATGTTTAAGAAAGGCTCCAAAGTCTCTGACAGGCCTAAAGTATTCTTGGCCTGATTGTGCCAATCACCCTGCTGGCAGCAAATAATGAGGGGCTCAGCAATTCCTGGTGATGGGGCCATCACAGAGGCTGGGGTTCAGCAAGGCAGTGTCCGTGCCCACAGCCCCTTGTCACTCTTGGGGATCATCCTTCATTAGCAAGAGATAAACCCATTAACCTTTGCCCCAAAGGTGCTCCAAGAAGCCACAAGCCTTTCTCATGCGGAGCAAGCCCTCCTCTGGTGTTTTTGCCCCCCTTCTGGCTTTAAATGAAGATTTCTAGAAAACTCCCAGCCCCACCCGAGAGCCTAAAAGCTCCTCAGATCTCACTGTGACAGGCAGCACAGACAGTGACTAATCCCTCATTCTCTCTCCAGGGCCTGGATCAGAGGTGTGTGCGTGTGTATGGAGGGAAGCACAGTAATCCCATCAAGATAACAATAGACCCACTCCCAAGAGCCAACTCCTCAAGCCAGCCTGCCTGGGAAAGGGACCACTCACCACCAAAATGGCTAATCCGGCCCACAGGAGTGACACCCCAGCAGGAGCCTGGCAGGAAGGTATTCTTCATGGCCAGGCCCTGTGGCCGAGTGACAGGGTCACACTGCCTGCTGCTTCCATGGTGACTGGAGAGCACGGGGGTAGCAATGACAGTGTGTCCCCCAGGCTCTCTGCTCACATTAGGGTACACTGGCTTAGCACCCCATAGTCACAGAGTGCCACAGCATCCTACAGCAAGCAGCACTCGTTTGCAGCCTGGATCCCCTTTGCTTCCACCAAGGATATCCACCCTCTGTTCTCTAACTGACAACTAGACCTCAAGGTGCTCACAGCTCCCTTTGAAGGGCCAGCATCAGGGACACCTCAGCTGAAAGCAGACATTCCAGACATAATGAGAAGCAAGAAAGCAGAGCTGGGTACCTGCTTATCCCACCATGCCACATGCAGCCTTCTTCAAAGCAGTGTGTAGGACTAACCCCAGTGAAGTATCCTCCTCCTTGCCAGGCACTCAGACTGAACTTTCTTATGAGGCAAGGTAGAGGCCTTGTGTGCCCATGCCCAAAAAGGGTCCCCCAAGCACTGACCCCAGGCAGAGGAGAGGCTGAAGAGCTCAGCTCTAACACAAGGGCTATTTCCACAGCGTGTACCCTCCTGTCATGTCCCAGCAGGTACTGCATTCTGAGGGCCTGTGGCCAAGCTACTCACAGTCTGCTCTATCTCTGCAGCTTCCTCCCGAGGCATGCGCTCCAGGAAATCCGCGTAGTGCTTCAGCCCCACGGCCTGCTGGCTGGTCAGAGCAGCCTTGCTGCGGATGTCATCCAGCGTCCGGAAACCCTAGAGCAGACCAGGTGTGATATTCACACATCTGCCAAGACTTTGCTCTTCACACACCTTCCACCAAGATTTGGGAAGACTGTATTTAGCCTGTCTCAAGTTCAGGCCTAGTCACAGCTTCTGAGATCACATGTAAAGAACACTTTAGGGCCTGGTTCCTAAAAGAAGGGATTTAGGCAATGGCATTATCCATGCACACCTCTAATCTCCACCCCTCCTCTGACAGAAGGCTACTGCTCTTAAGGCATGGTGTCTCTATACCCTGAAAGAAAACATGCAATGCAGGTAAAAGAACAACATCCACAACATCCCAATGAAGGAAAGCCGACAGCATGAACACAAATGTGTTTTTAAGTCAAGAATCCAGTCTCAAACCAAACACTACAGGAAACCAGGCTTCAATAGCTCATGCTCAGGAGACAAACTGTTTTTAAAGAAGGAACCCACCCAGTGGGTTGGGCTGCTCCTGTTGGCACAATTATTTCAACCTCATTCTTCTAACTTTGAGACAAAATGGATGGCTACTCTGACAGCTACAGGCCAACAGTCAGCAACTGCATCAGGAGCTCTCATGGCCAAGATGTCCTGATTCAAGCCTGGGTCATAGCAACACCACTGCCATGACTAGTGTGACATGAGCTCCAAAAAGTGATGCTAGAGCAGAGGCAGAATGTCTCCCATTCCTCTTCTCCACATCTTAGTCCTTTACCCATCCCAGCACAACTAAAGTCTCAGCAGGATGCTGAGACACAATGGGACCCAATCTCATAGTTCCTCCCCAAAAAAACAGATTTAAATCTGACCTGTAGGTATCAGCAATTAAAAACTATTTGTGAAAGTAAATCTCCTACACTCAGCAGCAGTTTTCAAACCATAACCAGAGAGCATCTTGTGTAAGGCACTGAACTTACCTGCTGGTACCACATCTGAGCTGTCTTGACCCCTGCTCCCCAGATGTTGGAAAACAACTCTAGCACAGGCACACTCTCACTGATGTGATCCAGCTTGCGCAGGTGCCCACTCTCCAAGATCTCCAGGATCTTCTCCGCCATCCGCTTCCCAATCCCAGGGATTTTACAGGCTTCCTGGAAAGAAACCAGAGCTGCTGCTGGAAAAGCAAAGATCATAGACAAGCTGGAGAGCTGCTACTGACTCAGAGCCTGGTTAGTCATTTGATGAGTGAAGGTTACGTGGCAGGACTAGTCCTGCCTGATGGTCTCCTCTCTAGCCCAGGCTTACTTTGGCTGATCAGTTCAAGTGGAAAAGGACAAGCCTGCAGAATGGGACTGAAACATGAACATACTGAACTGCTGGACTGTCACAGCCCCTCCCTCATATCCAGCCAGTTTTACATGTTATCATTATCAATGGCCATCAAGTTGCTGTTGATGAAGAGGAAGGTGAAAATGTCCCTGCATTGTGTCTAAGGAAGGTATTTATCTTGAGAGTGTCCAGATCTGGCCCTAAAAAGCTCAGATTCCACTTTTCTACTGTTCTGCAAACACTGTGTGTGATCAATAAATCTCAACTTGTACTTGCTATACAACTTCCATGGAAGGTCCATCTCCCTGCTCCACCCCCTGGGGAGGTGTTTTACCTGGTAGGAGGTGACTGGTTTGTGGTAGCTCTTGAGTGCATTGATTGCTTTGGAGTAGCCCAGAGCTCTCCACTTGTCCCCCTGGACAGAGTAAGCCTTTGCCAGCACTTCCAGCTTCTCTGTGATGCACTGGTTGTGATTTTCCTTCTTGGTGTTGGAAGACTGGGCACAAACCCACTTGCTGAGAGGCTGGGCCACTGTGTCAGAGCTATCACTGATCTCCTCTGATGATTTCACAGGGTAGCGGCCAGAAATCAACGCTTCCAGGTCTCCCTGGGTGACACCAGCATCTTCTCCTTCACTGTCTTCATCATCAGAGTATTTCTTTAGGGAAAGATCAGAAAACAGCCATGTGAGCCATGTGAGAATCATGCCTCATATATCCCCTTGGCACAAGCTACTCCTGAGATTAGGAAAGCAGAGCACTAACCACCCTCCCTCCTGCGCACACCAGGCTAACTGCCACCTCTAGAAGTGGCTGGTTATATGCACACCACAGTTCCTCAAGGTACACATGCACATCTCACACTGCACAGGAGACTACACTGCTGTCTACCTGTGATCCAAGCACACAGGCCCCTCCTACAGCCAAGGCCCTGAGGTAAGACACTGAATAAGTGAGCAACTGCTGCCAGCAGCAAGGTATGATAATGCCAAAATCCCTGACTGGCAGAGATGCTGACTCCCTACTCCCACTGGGAAACCTTTAGCTCATCTGGTGGCAGCATAGGCACATCTCTCACATTCAGACTCAGAAACTTCAACCCCATGATGCAGATGACAGCAGATAGGCACTGAACTTTGTTTTCAGTTTACAGACACAAAATCTTAACAAGAGTAGTAAATTTAAACCCCCTCATGTTCCCCATGGCTATCTGCAAGAGAAAAGGGGAGGAAGGAATGACACAAAGGACTCCACATTCCTCAGTGACAGAAGAAAGAACCAATGTATGCATTTGCTGATACCCTCAGCATTAAGATGCCTCTGTGTAGACTTAAGAAACAATGAGCCTCGGCTTCAGGTAATGAACAAAAGGGGAAAGAAGTGGAAAGGCACACAGGGACTTTGGAGACTGCTTTGCTCACTGGGGTCCCCATCTCCCCTGATGTATAAACACAGGAGTCTGTGAAGATCCAAGAGCTTGTGGAAGTAGCTCTGAGTGATGCAGGGTTGTTTGGGATCAGTCCAGCAATTACATGCAGCACACCATGTTCTGTTATGAGTTTCAGCACAGTGTGAGCCTAAGGAAGAGGGACATGCTTGCAGCTTCTGGTTCTGCTGGTTGTGGAGGCAGGAGGTCTGAAGACACATAGAGGGCATATGTTTTGCAGTCTTGTTTTATAACTCTGAAAACTGGGTAAGATTGAAGATTTGATAGATTTAATTAGTTTAATTTGTCTTGAAATGCAACTCCCTTCAGATGCTGCTCTCTAAGGGCAGCAAAGCCTCAAAAGGCTCAGATAAGTCAGTAAGCCCCTTAAAAGCATATAAAGGAGCATGTTATCCATTCACAACACAGAGAGCTCTGCAGCTGGAGGTGGAAGTAATTCCCATCCTCCTGGCCAGCAGTGTCACAGAGGTGAAACAGCCCTTAAACCCCTGACTCTCTACACTTTGTCAGCAAAGCTGATGGACTCTTTACAACCACATGTGCAAAACCAGCTAGTAGCAACAGGCTACTTGAGAGGGAGACAGGCAGCCTGGGGTGACAGCTCTGGGTTCACAGAGAGTAACTGTCACTGCTTACAGAGGCTGCCTTGCAGAGAACCACTGCATCTGCATGCCAGTCAAAAAGTGTTGCTAGTCTGACTGTAACAGGATTTCCTCACAGAAGTTTACATACAAAGACAACACTCCCAGATCAGTCACTGTTTAGTACAAAACACTGACATCCATCATCTCCTAGAGAAAAAAACATCCACCCAAGCTAGAAATGACTCTGTGCTCAAAAAGCTACTTCTAAACTAAGTTTCAGCTTCATTGCTGCAGCTGGGTCTCAAATATCCCACTCCTCCCCAAATCACATATCCCATTCCTCCTCAAGTCACACATATCTAAGCCTGGGACAATGGATTTTACTGAAACGTCTACAAATGTGGCTTTTGTGCCCTCAGAGAGCTGCCAGGTAGGGAGTAATTTCAGGCTTTGGGCAACAAGATTTTGGACTGTGTTGCCAGTAATACAAAGCAGCTGCTGGGGATGTTTGAGGTAACTTTGCTACAGACAGATTTGAATTACACAAATGCCCAAGAAGAACTCACCAAATTTGAGCAAAAATGCAGAGAACGGCAGGAAAGCTAACAGCAGGCCAGAGATGCTGACTCACAGCAGAAGCCACTAATAACCCAACACAGATATTTCAAGAACACCTCCATGATCCTTCTGGTAGCAACCTGATCCACTGTACAAACATGTGTCTGAACAGGGTGTTTGCCAAGGAGTGGAGAACTGACCCATATGGCTCAGGCAGGAACATGGGATGAAATATCAGAGACAGCTTCCTGAAAAGAAGATATTCTCAGACAGGGAATATTCCTCAAAAGGACATAAGTGAGTATCACCATAGTGAGCCTTGGCCTGATCAGAGCACCAGGACAGCTTCAGCTGGAAAGGTTCTGATGGCAACAGCAATTTAGGGCCACTGTTTCTATTCTTAGCACCTAAAAAGGACAAAGAGAAGCAGTAACCATGTTCACAGCCTGAGTCTGGCTCACTGGAACATCCAAACACCTTCCCTTTGCCCTTTGCTGAGAAAATCTCACATGGTATCCCTGCAGGGATGCTCTTAGCCAGGAAAAGCAGCAAGCAGGATCTGCTCACAAGGAGATGGATCTGTGCAGGAAAGCCTCACCTCAGCCACTCGCTGCTGCCCAAGGGTGCCCAAGCCTTGCTGTGAGGAATCCTCCAGCTGTGATTCAGTGCTTGGTTTCACTGCTCCCTCCTCTGCTGGGGGCTGCACTTTTTCTCTGTCCAGGATCTGCTGCGGTTCTTTCTGCAATTCTTCCTCCTCCAGGTACCTGCCATGGATCAGATGTCTCAGTACAGAAGAAAGAGGACTTCTCAACCCCCAGAAGTTTGACCAAGAAATCCTTCTGCATGTTTTGGGATGGACCAAACAACCCACATGAATTGTACTCTCTCAGATCACAGATTAATTACTCTGGCTTTAGCTCAACTCCCCAGTTAACATCTACCTTGCTGACCTGCAACTTCCACTCGTACCTACGTCACTCTTAGACTCTCTTTCCAAAACATTGCCAAAATATTCTGATCCTAACCTGTGCCTGCTGCTCCATTTTTAATTTCCTCTTGTGCCTAGTTTCCAGTTTCTCTCTACCCTTGATCTGCAATAAATAAGAAACCATATTTAATTCTCAGTATTTTCAAGAGACATCTTGTCATCACTGATGGATCAGGAAGAGGTGCCTTTAGCACCTGTAGCAAGTGACAGGACTTCTGGCAGTACTTCTGGGCCCTATTATATGTTTTGCTGCCACACAGAACTTTGAGTCAGGCTCACAGGAGCCGCAAGGAGTTGCAGTCCAAGATTTTGAGCAGAGCTCAAATTGTAGTGCTGTTCAGTTTAGGACAGAGGAAATGCAGGCAGGAATGGCAGAGTGGCATTTGCCTACCTGTGAGGGATAAAGACACCATAGCCAGCAGTGCTCAGCAGCTTCTGGTCCCTAATGCAGGCACTAAGCCAGGCTGCCTTCACCAGCTGCAGCCCCGGGGGCAGCTTGGTGAGCCTGAGGAGCCGGAGGGCGCGGGGGCAGTCCATGTGCTCAGCCACAATGACGTGTGTCACCTCGGGGCAGAGCTGGCTGTGAACCACGCCCCCGTTGTGCACAATCTGCCTGCGGAAGATCTCGGCCCTGGCCTGGCCAATGCCGGCTTGCAGCACGTAGGCAACGACTGGTTTCAACCACTCTGCTGAGGAAAGCACAGGGACACGGTGACAACAGAAACCCCACCCAGCAGGGCTACATCTCTCACACAGGACTTGATGGCACCAGCCCTGGCGGGCAGTCCTGGGGGGCTCCAGCAGGACACACCAAACCAAGCTGGCCATGACCACTACAGAAAACACACTGAGGGCCAGAAAAAGCCCATGAGGAACAGCACTTGCAGTTAACACACTGGGTGTAAGTATTATATCCTGCCTCACAGGGACACAGGACTTACCCTCAGGTATCTCTGTTCCTTGCTCCTTCGGGATCTTTGGAGGGATGCTTTTCTCCGAGCCATCCCTTACCTTCTTCCTCTTGGGAAAGGCTTTGACAATCCCTCGTGGCTCCATAGGCCTGGTGGGAAAGGTAGCAGCAATTGCTAAATACAAACAAGAAAGAGCAACATTGCTTAGATCTTACCTAACCACAACTCAAGATTCACTCATGTTGCTCACTGTCTTTGTTCTGAAGTTTTTTGTTGTTGCCTTCCAAAAATGCTCAACCTGAGGGAGGCAACCAGAATCAAGAATTGCAGCCCACAAGGTCAGAAAAACCAAAATCAGAAAGTCACTTAAGTTAACCATACCTGAATGGCTTAGAAACCTCTACAGCTGAGTTCTTACAATGCAAAGCATTCAACTATTTTAACAGTTTAGAGCTCCTATCTGCTCAGCTCAAAGAAGCAACTTTATTTCCCAGGCATTTCTTAAGCACATTCCCAAGAGGGAAACACTTCTCCTGCCAGGGCTGAAGTCCAGTCACCTATGAGACAAAACTCAGATTGACACCAAGTGTTTCACACAGCCACAAGAGGAAAACTCCCAACTTGGCTTCATCTGGAAATAGCAAATTACTAAAGATTAACTAGCCAAGTTCAACATGGGTACAACTGTAGCTTTACCATGACAAGCCTTGCAAATGCAAACTTTGGAGCTTGAACTACCAGGACACAAGGAAGCTCAGTTTTTTGTAGCCCAAACAAGCCCCAAATCACTGTATATCCCAACAGCCCCCTCCCTGTGGCTGCAGTGCTGAGTAAACACCAGCTTGGTTTCCTCTCTGTGCAGCACTCCGTGTTTCTCTTAGAGTTCTCACACACAGTCCACCACAAACCTATCCTACCAAAGCTGGAAAAGCTGAAAATGGTCCCACTGGGCCATGGCTTCCTGCTATGGGCACCTTCTCATCTGAACACTAAACATAATCCTCTGAAGACCAACCCAGAGCTCGACTCAAGCCCTCACTTCTGTGAGGATTTCAGCTCCATGGGAACAGAAATCCCGCTACATTTCTAAAACTCACCTTCGCTGAAACGGTTCAGTTTTCAGGACGTTTTGACCAAGAAAACAAAAAAAAAAAAAAAAAAAAAAAAAAAAGAAAAAAAAGCCCTCTGGAAACAGTAATCCTTTCTATAAGATAAAGAAAAAGCCCACATCAAAAGCCCGCCAAGGTTCTGGGTGCCCAAGTCCGTTGCAGGGCTGGGCAGTGTGTTTCTGCAGGCTGTATTTGAACTCCTATAAACCACAACGCACAGAACCTGCCTTGCCAGCCTCCCCAGGCCGCCAAGGTCTCAGGGCCGCCAACCCGGGACTGGCAAGAACGACCCCCCAGACTCGCGGCTGTGCCCGGGGGAGCCGAGGGGGGACAGCCAGAGAGGGGAAGGCCCCGAAGGAGCGCGGGCCCGGGGCCGGGGCCGGGGCCGGGGCTGGGCCGCGCTCGGCTCGGCCGGGCCGGAAGCGCTTCCGGGCGGCGGGCGGAAGTTTCCGCGTTGCCGCGGCGACGGCGCGGCCGCCATGGCGGTGCCGAGCTGGCTGGAGCGGCTGCGGGCGGCCGGCAAGACGGCGCTGGTGCAGGACGGTAACCGCGGGGCGAGGGTGGGGATAGCCGCGCAGTGAGGGGCGGTCCTGCAGCGAGCGGGCGCGGAAGGGAGCGCTCCTGGGCACAGCCCCGCAGCCCGGCCTCCAGGGAAGGACACAAGGCCGTAACGCGGGCGGTGGGACGGGGTCCCGGACCATGGGATAGGGCCCCACGCAGTGGGACAGAGCCCTACACCCAGGAGGAGGTGTATCTCGTCTCCTCTCACCACCTGCCTTGCCTCTAGGGAAGCGGAAGATCCACTACTTGTTCGAGAATGGGAAGGAGATGGCCGAAGAGTACGACATTAAAACTGGCCAGTTAATAAGTAAGTGGTGCTCTGCAGGGCAGTGGGTCTGTACCACCTGGTCAGGAACAAATCATCCCTGCCTGTTTTGGGAGACAGGAATGCCTGTAGCAGAATTTTGTAGGGTCCAGCTTGCAGCCAGGGTTCTCTGACTTTCATGGCACAGCAGATCTTGCTTTCGCCCAGGATCTCCCCCAAACATCCCATCTGTCACAACAGACTTGGATGGACTAGATGAGATTGCCATCATCGGTGCCAGGCACCAAGTCTGTACCACATGAAGGGCTGAAATATGCTTTTTGGTGGCTTCTGCTACCACAAACAAAGTGTTGTTTATGGCTCCTGTCCAAAACCACATCAGCTGCAGCACAGCACCTGTCGCAACCCCACCATGGCTTCAGCACCAAGTAGCAAAAAAGAGGCATTCAGCACAGAATTTCTGACCTAGGAATAGGCCAACTAGCAGATCAACTCACACCAAAATCGAAATTACTGGAATTAAGATACATGTATTCATATAATCTCAGTGTGCTGGGCAGCTTTTGCAGTCAGTTGCTGGAGTTATTGAAGAGCAGAAGAATGAAAACCCTTCTTCTCTCTTCCCCAGGTAGAAAATGGCGAGAGAAGAACACCCTTGGGGGCACGGGCAAGTGGCAGGTGGAAGTGGGAGAGCCAACCTCGCCACTCCTGGGAGCACTGGAGTCAGAGCTTATAACAGAGAGCAGCTCAAATGTATGTAAGGGTCTGCAGGTACCACTGCACCTAAAACTACCTTGTCTTGTGCTTACAGCAGTAGTTGGTAGAGCGCAGATCACCAAGAGACAGCCTTAATACAGCCAGCACTCTGCTACAAATCACCCCAGAACTGCAGGGCTGAGTAGAAAGAAGGCACAACTTAGGTTTTTTAGGAGTCTTCAAGACATTTGTAGTTTCCTTAAGAAACTGTACTGCTGTGTTGGCCAACTGCTATCCTGTCTTGAAAGAGCAGTATGACAGGAAGGCCAGTGCCAGGACAAGTCAGGGGCTAGAAAACAAAGGTGATAGCAATGAAAGGCACAGGCAGTGCATAGCAGGCTGCTCCCTAATAGGGCACAGCTTGTTTCATCTTCATACCCCTCTAGCTGAGGGCACAGCTGGTTTAGTCTCTCTTCATCTTTTCAGAAGCTGTGCTTCTGAAACACAAGCACAGCTCTGCACCACAAACTGGGGCAGAGCTAGGACTGAATCTAGCAGGTTCCTAGAGCAGGCAGAGCTCAGTATTTGGTTGTCTGTGACCCTGTAGCCCTGTACTGGCAAGGCTTCCTGAGTAAACACTTTCAGCCTCCTGCAAGCAGTGTCCTGGGCAAAGGCAGAGCAACCTTAGTTGTAGGAAGGTGGTGCTCAGGCAGTTTCTTCACTTACTCCTTAATGCTCCAGTGTGAAAGAACAGCTATCCCCATGTGGAGTCTCACAAGGTAGTAGAGGAAGGAGACAGGGAGGAGAGGAGACAGCTGGAGGGGCCTTGCTAAAGGTACTTGTTTGCTGTAGCCCATCTTCATGAGGAAGGATACCCTGAGCAGCTTCCAGTGGCGGATCCGTAACCTCCCGTACCCCAAAGAGGTCTACAGCGTCTGCGTGGAGGAGGAGCAGCGCTGCTGCGTCATCCGGACCACCAACAAGAAGTCAGTAAGGACAGCACTGCTGGTGCTGACAGTCCCCTGGGGTGGGCTGGCACAGGGGGCTGTCCCCTCTTTTGTCCCAGTGTGCAAGGGCTCAGGGGCCTCACCTTGCAGCACAATTTCCTGCTGCCCAATTTCCACTCTCAGCTGCCTCAGACATGTTTACAAGTAGGGCCCCCCAAGCTCTGCATTGGCCATTGCAAACTCATCTTGGCTCCTGTAGGGTGGTGTTTGCAGTGTTCTTACCCTGTCAAATATTACTTTCTCAGAAAAATAAAGTAGGAGCCTTGCAGACTTCTTGAAGCTAGAATATTCCATTTTCTCTCTCTGATTTTAGTCACTGCATCTCAGAATGCTGCAGGATTCAACATGGACAGCAAAATCGTGGGCACCCAAACAGATCTCCCTGCATAAACATGTCCAATAGTGTCACAGTGCCAGTGATATGATCTGGAGGTAGCAAGCAAAAAAAGGCAGACTGAATCTGGGAAGGAAGCCCCACAGTGTTCTGCCAAGAGAGATTTGAGATGGGGGGATGAAAACAGAAAATGCTGTTAAAGCCACATCTTGCAGTGTCGATACATGGCATCTCACATGGAATGAAACACACACCGTGTCCCAAAGCATCTACAGCTTCAGATAAGCCAAGACGAGCTGTAGTATTGGGAAGTGAGTGCACGTAATGAGCCTTGGGAGCACAAGGGAAGGTGATGGAAGTGGCTGTAGGTGGTGCTGTCGGCACAGAACTGCGGCCCCTCTGCTGCCGGAAGGCTTCGCGAAGTGGCACCCGCGAGTCCCGGCAAAGGGCTGCTGGAGCTCTGCACATCAGCACACCTGGGGGCTCAAAACCAGAAGGCTGGGAAGAGGAAAGTTAACCCATAGAAACAGCAAGAAATTACACCTCTAATACAGAAAGATGTTGGCCTAAATGCACACAGAGGGATTCACAGAACAGTGGTGCTTTAGTAGGGAGACCCACATAGCAAAAGATGAATGAGATTCCCATCAGCCACACATGGATATCCATGGAGCTAGGACAGGAATGGAGTACTTAATCCTAAATCCAACCACATACTGTCACAGACAGGCTTATCTACTCCCAGTCCTACTGATAGTTGTGTGTATGTGGGAATTTCCTGCATAGGTGCCATAAGGTTCTAATGTAGCACTGAGGCTTTACCTATGCCCTACCTGACTTCTGGCTTTTTTGTACTGCTCTCAGGAGAGTCTTCCATGAGCAGCTCACACTTGTTCTCTCACAGACTGGTGCCAGAGGACCCCACAGCAACTCATGGCCTGTGTCTGACAGTTAAGGACTTTTAGAATTAAAGCTGAAAGCCACCTCACTGAGGACAAGAATGATGTTGCTGTCAGTAGGGAGCAGGGACAGACACCAGCACTAGCACACTTAGTACAGGCTCCAGGATATCTTAGATCATTTCTCCTGGGTCTCAGCCAGGGCAAGGCACCACTCAGCAACTAATTCCAAGATAGCAACAGCAGCATGGAATCCACAGAGAGAGCGCACATCACTACAGGAGAGAAAGGAAGCCTCGGAGCCTCTCCAAGCCTTGGAAGTCAGCCATGCTGCTTCTGAGCAACAGAGCTGTGCTGACCGCCAGCCAGACGCACAAGTAACAGGATGGGCTGCCAAGTCACTACTAAGTAGCTGAGCTCTGAATTCTCAGCATACCAGTAGCAGTTTTCCCTACGGGCTAACAAAAAGTGGGTTTCCAGTAGGAAAATAATAGAGGTGATTTCACATACGTACTGTGGATCACGGGCCAGGACTCGGGCTCAGAGTGTAATACTGCCCCTTGGCCATGGGGTGAGAGGAGAGGGCAGAGAATCAGCCTGCATTGGCTGGGATAACCACCCATCAGCTACCTCCCCAGCCCAGACAGGAGCTCTTCACTTCCACCAGTCACTCTGTTCCCTCTGGCCACGGCAAGGGCTGCTCAAGTGGGATTTGCTTAAAACCTCTTGCTGTAAAATAAATCCATTAAACTGAACTCTAAAAACAAACCTAGAAAGCCACCTCCCCAAACGCCAAACCTGATTCAATTATTGTAGTGAGAGGCAGTGGTAATGTTAGGAGGAGGAGGGGTTGGCAAGGCAGATCTGGTTTCCTTTGATCTTGTCACAGATTTTAGTTTGAGGCCAGCCAAAGCCATTCTTCTCCCCTTCTCCTTAGTCCTGGGGCAGCAGAATGCTGCTGTTTCATTGATGACTCCCAAGGCCCTTTGAAACAGTGGGTTTTTTTCTGTGTACTGCTTTTTTTTTGTCTAATCGGTAAGAAGTTAACACTTCCTTAACATGTCTTTGTGTTCATCTAATCTCTGCTGTTTAACCTTTGACATCTCCCTTATTATCCATGTCTGCCACCTTTTCCAAATACCGACAGCAGTGACAACACAGAACGGTTTGAGCCCTGCGGTAACAAGCCGTGTACATTCCTCCCACTGCACCGGGAAAGCCATTTGCCCTTTGTAGCTGTTTTCACTGTGACTTGGAAAATAAACTGCACTTTGGGCAGAGGTAGCTCGAGAGGCCAAGCCTCACACACAGCCAGCTGAATTGAGAACCACCCCTCATGGTAGCAGCCACTACCTATTCCCACTCTGCTCCAGGCACTTCAGTACCAGCTACAGGCTAATTCCTTGGAGAGGATTGCCTACAAGAGTGTTGGAAGACACTAAGAATCCAGCCCTGCCTCTGGGTAGGCACAGGACCACCAGCCAGTGTATTTGGTACAGCCCCAGAGAGAAGCTGTAGATGCAAGGCAAGCAATGC